GAAGGGTTAAAAGAAAAGATGAATAAGGTTTGAGGACCTACAGTGACCATAGTTGATAGCACTGTATTATATAACTGAAATTTGCTAAGAAAGCAAAATTTCAACGTTCTTACTATAAACAAGTAAATATGTGAGGTGATGGGCATGTTAATTAACTAGATGGTGGGAATCTTTCACAATGTACACATGTTTCAAATCACCACAATGTACACTTTGAATATCTTCAAATTTTATTGGTCAACTATACCTCAATAAAGCTAAAAAAACAAAAAACCCTTTCTTTTATCATCCCTGGCCTCATGGACTCCTCTCCCAGGAACTACCATAATCACCACACCAACACCAATCAGATTTTATTTAGTATTATGTCTATTCAGTGGCTTTCAGCAAGTTTCCTGAGGAATTTTGGAAGTTGGCCTTATTATCCCCCAAAAGTAATTTCTACATATATACTTACAGCATTCCTCTGGAGAGAAAACAGTATGGGAAAATGTCAAAAACACATGAATTTCAGTGCTATCTTTCCTCTGTGAGCAAATAAGACTTTTTATAAAACTGCAAGAGTCACTCAAAATGAAATATGAACACATGAAAACATTTTTGGGAAATTCCAACCACCAGTAGTTTTGATGAAAGGGAATATCTCACTTAAAAACAAATAACCAATCATTAAAAGGAAGTACAATCTGGACCCTAATTGATTGTCTTACTGTTCATTTCTTTAGGGACAGGGCTGAGTTAATTTGGAAGTTTTATCAAAGATATTTGTTATGGTTCTCCATAAAGACCCTCAATGGAAAATCAAAGGGTGGGGGCTTCTCCCTCATCTATTTTGAAATCTCTGGTCACAAAGGTGTTGTGGAATAAAATTTTTAACTTAGAACTTCTCATACTTGAAAACTTGAGAGTTAAAAGTGGCCTGTAGGTTAAAAATTACTTTCAAAGTGTTTTTATTTAAACATGTAGCCTGGTAATTCAGGATCTGGAAGATGATGTCTGAGTCTCCAATGAAATCACACCCAAGTCTGTCCTCAGTGATGGTTCAAGAATCTAGTTCAAAGGGTGCCCTGTTCTCACTGTGCTACCTACCAGATGAAACAGGTCACAGGGTTCTCTTAGGATCATGTTTGAAAATACAGAAAACCTTCAGCAAAGGACTTCAACATCTACTAGAAAAATCACTTCCACATTCTGCAATGGCTTGGCAACAGCAATAGCTGCCACGTAATGACAAGCTTGTAGCTGGAACCCAGTACTATCTTTCCCAAGACAGAAGCCTTCAAGGGCATCATCCAACAGTTGGTGGTAATAACCGGTTGCCAGGAAAACATCCTGGAGGAGCCTGATTCCATCAGGTTACTTGGTGGTGTCAATATAGGATGTGGCAAGACGCTGAAGGACACAGCAGATGTGGCCTCTCTGCAACATATGAAATGAAGTGCCAGGTTCTGTAACTTGTTTGAGAGGGAATCTGGGTTTCTGCTGTGCTGCAGGCTATGACAATCTAAATGAGCATAGGCTCTGCGCCGTATGCTACTAAGTACCAATTTTGGATACACCCTCCAGATCCCCATCATCCCCAATCCACGATGACCTCTGGGACCCCAACCATCTTCCTGCTGTTGTTTTCATTTTTAGCAGAACCCAATCTCGGCCATCTCCGCACAAGTACACAGTCACAAAGCAAAGCTAGACTTTGGTTTCCTAATGATATCATCAGGTTGCCAAGCCCAGTAAGAAACAGCAGCCACAGCAAACACACCCAGCCCAGGCACACACAAAGGGACACTGGTGCTATGTCCTTGCTGTTTGCCATCTGTAACTCCCCTTTGCCAAGGGCCTGAGGCAAATTCTGAGCTGTGCCACAGTTATTAACCACAACAGCAACTAGTAACTATAAGATACTGAGATCTTGGACAAGAAGCTTAATTAAGTTCACATCATGTGTGTGGCTATGAAACCACCTAAGGAAGTCCAGGAGATAGATGTGAAAAGATGTCAAGAAGTTTAACAAGGGGGCTGAAAGGGATATGATCACGGATCTTCTGAAATTAGTGGAGCCTAGTATCATGGGAGTTCACGGGACAACAGTGTCTGGTGGTTCTCAAAATTCTCCTGTCAGAGGACCCCTTCTTCCAGGGAAAGAATCATGAGAACTTTTGACTTCACCCAGTTCTACTAATCACTCCCCAGCTCCCCATAAGAAAGCAATAAAAGTATAAAGAATTCCATCAACAGATGAATGGATAAATAAAATGTGGTATATAATGTGGTATACATACCAAAGGTGGTACACATACAACAGAATATATCCAGTCTTAAAAAAAAATGGAATTCTGACACATGCTACAACATGGATGAACCTTGAAGCATTACACTAAGTGAAATAAGCCAGTCACAAAGGGACAAATATTATATGATTCCACTTAAATGGGGTACCTAGAATAGGCAAATTCACAGATATAAAAAGGTAGAACTACCCTGGCAGGTATGTTCAGTGGTTAGAGCATCGCCCCACATACCAAAGGGTTATAGGTTCGATTTCCAGTCAAGGGCACATACCTGGGTTGCAGGTTCAATCCCTGGCCCCGGTTGGGGTGTGCATGGGAAGCAACCAATCGATGTGTCTCTCTGGCATCAATGTTTCTCTCTTAATCTCTCTCTCTCCCTCTCTTCCTCCCTCCCACTCTCTCTCTAAAAATCAATGGAAAAAAATATCCTTGGGTGAGGATTAACAAAAGAATAAAAAATAAAAAAGTAGAAGAGTGGTTTACCAGGGGCTAGAGGTAAGTGTGCATGGGGAGCTAGGATTTAATGGGGACAGAATTTCTGTTTAGGGTGATGAAAAAGTTCTAGAAATAGATGGTGGTAATGCTTGCACAACAGTGTGAATGTCCTTAATGCTACTGAATTGTACACTTAAAAACTGTAAATCGCCCGGCCGGGCGTGGCTCAGTGGTTGAGCATCGACCTAGGATCCAGGCGATAGGGGTTTGATTCCCGGTCAGGGCACATGCCCGGGTTGTGGGCTTGATCAATGACTCTCTCATCATTGATGTTTCTATCTCTCTCTCTCCCTCTCCTTTCCTCTCTCTGAAATCAATAAAGATATATTAAAAAATTAAAAAATAAAATAAATAAATATAAAAAATAAAAACTGTTAATAAATGACAAATGTTATGCTATGTGTATTTTACATACAAAAAATAAGTATGAACAATGCTTTTAAGGGAACATGACTAAGGTAATGTTTAAAAGACTAGTATTATTTTTTTTTCTAGCTATTTTTATTTTTAAATTTTTTTAAATTTATCTTTATTGTTGAGAGTATTACAGGTACTCTCAACAATAAAGATAAATTTTAAAAAATAAAAGACTAGTATTAATAAGTAAATAATTCACATCAGAAATTATAGGATAATTGGTCAGCTACACTGTGAGAATGGATGACACATGTTAATCAGCACTGTTCACCCAGTTCACAATCTGACAGTGAATTCCCTCATTCTAGTCCAATCCCTTGCTTCTGTGGAGGAATAAATTCAACCACTTGGAGTCAGAATTATTTAGCTGCATATTAGAGCTATGACAGGCCTTGTGAATTCAGGGCCCATATCTGTTTAAATGAAGACCCAGTTCTCAATGAATTAACCAGCATAACAATTGAGTGTAAAGTACTCTCACACATAAAATCCCAAAAGTACCTTTATTTTATCAAGTTAAAGATACCGTATGATTTAATGAAGTACTCCTTCGGATTAGTTAAGCATCTTGAGTGGAATATTCTTTTAGCATTTGGACTATAATAGAATCAGGTCAGGGAAATTAATCTACACCTATGTTCCCAGGGTCTCTCCTTCATAAGGCCTCTTAATACTCGTTTTTTCCTCTTTAGTTTTATATTTTGGGAGAAGATTATTAATATTTATACTGGACATGTTCTCAAAGCTTCTCCAAAGTGCTAAACACAGGGATGACTTAGCAATTAAGCAGTTAATCTGATTACTGGGGAAGTTGGGCAGATAACTTGGACCACAAGGCGAATGACTTGGCCAGATCATTCAGTTGGGATGTTTGCCTTACTCATATAAATCTTAGCTTCATTTTCTATTCATTTGGTACATAATTTCAGGAGAGGCATGATGTTCTCAAAAATTTATCTAGGTGAGGCAGGAATGAATGGCCAATTCAGATAATAATTTTGGCTGAAAAATGTCACAGCCTTTGAGATTTCTTTTAAATATATCTGAAAAGTTGTCTTAATAGAATCATAACAATGACTATGATATATGGTATGATTTGGACCCTGGATCAGAATGGGGGTGGAGAGAGGGATATTACTGAGACAACTGGCAAAATCTGAATATGACCTGTAGATAAGATATTAGTATTGTATCAGTGTTAATCTCCTGATTTTGCTAATTGTACTGTAGTCATGTAAAAAAAGTGTCCTTGGTCTTAGAAAATACACGCTAAAGAATTTAGAAATAAAGAAAAGCAGCATCTTACTCTGAAATCTGAAACTTACTCTCAAATGTTTCAGAAAAAAATTTATATATATCATTACATATAAAGAAAGAATGACAGAAGTGTGATAAAATAATAATTAGGAAATCTGAGTAAAGAGTGTGGAAGTTTTTTACATTATTTCTAACTTCTATAAGGAAATAATTTCAAAGTAAAAATTTATTAAAAATTTTTAAAGTTTATTTAAAAACTCATTCATAGTGGTCCTATGATCTAAAACAAAGCCAAATTAATATGGTATCATACATTGTATATCTCAACTAATTTCAATATTATATTAGTGGCATTATTAACCAGAAAAATACTGCTCGAGTTCTATTTGATTATAAAAGCATTGAATCTCAAGGGCAGAAGGGAACAAAGAGACCAAACAACTCAAATAAACATCCGTGTTTCCCAATGTAAAACCATAAGAAATTATGTAATGTAAAAAGGAAGCAGGTGTGAGTCATGAAGCATAGAAGAGGTTCTACCTTGAACTGCTGTTGAGCTCCACCCAGCCCAGTTTCCATGACACACGAAGCAAAAGTCCACCAATTAACATCTGCCACCTGAAAACAATAAGGACCAGTTTGAATTTTTAAAATTTTTATTTATCTTTTTCCAGTCTGAATTTAATACAGTGCCATGGTCTCAAAAGCCATCGCCCCGGAAGATCTGTCAGCTGACACAAATATACACATCCAATCCTTAACATGACTTTTTTCTCCCACTCTCTCCTAATTATCATCTCAATTCTCAGACATGTCCTTCCCAACTTCTACTTACTCCCTTGAATTCAGCTGTACCATTAAGTGCTGACATTGGGACTCTTCTTATTTTAGACTTTCCCTCAGATTCCTTTTAAATATATTTGAAAAGCTGTCTTAATAGAATCATAACAATTAACGTGATGTATGCTATGAATTGGACCCATTGGCTCTGCACTGATAATTCCCAAGTCCCACTTTTCATCCAGATAACCCACAAGCTCCCAAATGTAACATAAACCATTACCTTGAACTTCCCCCTTCTCGTCCGGATCATCCTCCCACTGCCCCTAATCAGCCAAACCAGAAAGCTAGATGTCATCCTAGCTCTTCCATCCTCACCTCCCTCATTTACTTGCAAAATTCTAATGATTTTATCCCCATAACAGTTCTCAAATCTGAAGCCTTTCCTTCCATCCCTTATGCCTCTGCCTAATTCAGATTCATTATCTCACACTCTAAGCACAGCATTTAGTCCCCTCTCTCCAGGGTTGTCCCACCCATCCAGTCTCTACCTTGAAGTCAAAGGATTTGTTCTAAAATGCTGGCTTAATTGTGCTACTGGCTTGTTTTAAAAATAGTCTAGCCCTAGCCCATTTGGCTCAATGGTTAGAGTGTCAGCCTACAGACTGAAGGGTCCAGGGTTCAGTTTCGGCCAAGGGAATGTACCTCAGTTGTAGGCTCAATCTCCAGCCCTGGTCAGGGTACATGCAGGAGGCAACCAAGTATCCGAAGGTGAGGATTAAAAAATAAATTTAGCCCGGCCAGGCATGGCTCCGCAGTTAAGCGTCGACCTAGGATCCAGGTGATCAGGGTTCGATTCCCAGTCAGGGCACATGCCCAGGTTGTGGGCTGCAGCCGATCAATGACTCTCTCATCACTGATGTTTCTATCTCTCTCTCTCCCTCTCCTTTCCTCTCTCTGAAATCAATAAAGATATATTTAAAATAAATAAATAAATAAATAAATAAATAAATAAATAAATAAATAAATAAATAAATTTAAAAAATAATCGATTCTCCCCAGTGCTACAGGTAGCAGCTCTCAGCCTCTTTTCTGCCACAACATACTAGGTGTCACGAGGCTCACATGAGACACCCTTCCTCAGCATGCAGAGCTTAGGGGGAACACAGGTTATAAAATAAACACCCCTCCCTTTCCCACTGCAGAAAGCACAGCAAAATACCAAAGGAATGAGAAGGGAACTATGGGCATAAATGTATCCTGTTTCATTCTAATCGCTTTTTTATTTCAGGTGAGTCATTCATAAATTTCAAAACTTTATTTTTAGCTGTGACTTGAGACACTACCTCAGACATGATTACAGCACACCTCTGTATTGCGACACCACAGTTGAGAACCCCTGGCCTACAGGATGAAGTCATTCGTGTGTGACACACAGGCCTTCTGGAATTTGCACCTGCCCCTCTCCAGGATCAGCTCCTATGTGTCTGCCATGGGCCGCCACATTCCGGCCACACTGAAAGGCCTGCAGCCTCGGGCGGGAATGTGCCAGGCGATCTCATACTTCTACAACTTTGCCCGTGCTGTCCTCCTGACCCATATTGTTCTTCCCATCTCCTCGTGTGCTGGTGAACACCTGCTTACTCCGTCTGGTACACCAAAAGGTTGTGGGTTACATTCCTGGTCAGGGCACATAGGTAGGTTGTGGGTTCAGTCGAAGTGCGTATGGGAGGCAACTAGTCAATGTTTCTCTCTCTTTTTCTTCCTCTTTCTCTCTCTTTCCCTTGCTCTATCTGTAAAAATTATAAAAATATATCCTCAGGTGAGGATTTAAAAAAGACAACAACAACAATAAATGAGGCCAATATAAATGAAACTATTAGGGGAGAGATGATTTCTTCACATTGCACCATACACTAAAATAAATGGGCAATGGTTAAAATTGAATAAAGCTTTAATGAAATGTAGGTGAATATCAGCATAATCTTGTGATGGAGAAGAATAAATGTAAAAGTAATGGTGACTCACAAAATAAACTATCAATATATTTTTCTATATAAAAGTAAAACATTTAACAAATGAAAAGAGGAGGGTGATGAGGTGAAAAAGAGAAATCTACATGTTGCTCCTATAGTTCCCAGACCACTGACCTGACCCTACGCCACGTTTCCTTTCTATCTTCTTTCTAATAACAGCACCCTTCTCACAAGACCACACAGTGGACTCATCTTATGTGCTCTCTGTAGCTTCATCCTTATGTTCAAATGATACATTCTCTATGATGCCACTTTTCAAAATATTTAACTAATCAAAATAATTATAAACAAAATAAAAAGGCAAAGAACAAACAAATTGCAAACAAATAAAAAATTCCAATAAACATAATGGACAAGTGGTTGGCGTCATTAAAATACGAAGAATTCATTAAACTGCTAAAAAAAAAATACTGAAACCCCTGTAAAAGTAAAAGGGTAAAAGGCACAAACAGACAATTCATTGGGGGGAAAAAGACACAAGTGCGTAATAAATATAAGAAAACTGTCCAACTTGATGAATAATCTAAGAAATGATAAGATAAAACAATGTGATACCATTTTTGGCTCATAAAATCAGCAGAGAGAAGAAAAAATAGTCATAGTTTGAGTATAATATTATAGAAACATTCATATACAACCTGGGTGACAATGTAAACTGATAAAACATTTTTGGAAAAAAATTTGTTAATATTCAAGAATAATACTAAAGAAGTTCATATTCTTTAACCCAAATTTCTTATGTAGGAATGAATCTATGCCAAAGAAATAGTTGGGAATTTGGCAGAGTTAAATACAAAAAATGTCTGATAACTTTGTTGTATTTATACCACCCAAATGAGACACAATTTAAATGCCCATTAAGATGATAGTTGAATAAATTACAGTATGTCTATTTGATGAAAAAATCTATGCAGTCACTAAAAATATTTTAAAGATAAAGGGTAAAGAGGGTCAAATATATGGTGACAGAAGGAGACTTGACTTTGAGTGGCAAACACACAATGCAATACACAGATGACATATTATAGAATTATACACTTGAAACCTATATAATTTTATTAACCAATGTCACCCCAATACATTTAATTAAAATTTTTTTTAATTTACATTTTAAAGAACATTTAATGATGCTGGTTGAACATTTCCTACAAATGAGTATAAAGTGCATAAAAAATACTCACCCTTGAAACAATGTAGGGTAGGTAAATTTCAAGACAGACAGGACAAACTGAAAAACAAATACCAGATTAATGGACATTTTCAAATTATAGAGAATAGATAGACCACATAATCAAAGAAATCTCTACTGAAGAAACATAAGCACACTAAAGTTTCAAAAAGGCCTTTCTCCACCAAAATCACACTGGGTAAAAAACAAAACAAAAAACCCCAAACACCTTCTGAGTCATGCTAAAAACAGTGGGCCTGCTTTCCCCTAGAGTCACCAGACCCTGACCACCTCAGCTGAGGAATGAACTGGCACCATAAGCAACGGGGGACAGCAGCTGGGTCTGATGCTGGGGCGGCTGACCACTCAGCATCTTCCCAGACCCCAGAAGTGTCACATTGTAACTGCAGCCACTCCAGAGAAAACCAGACAAACCTCTGAATGCGGTCTGTTTTCTCAGGGTATCCACTTTATCTGCTATCTGGTTTACCTAAAAATCCAACCCCCTTCTTTGTTTCCCTTCAATTAAGAAGTTCATCCTAGGCACTGGCCAGGGAGCTCAGCTGGTGAGAGCATCATCCCAATACACCAAGGTTGTGGGTTCGATCCCCGATCAGGGCACATACAAGTATCGACCAATGAATGCATGCATAAGTGGAACAACGAATCAGTGTTTCACTCTCTCTCACTCTCTCTCTCTCCCTTCCTCTCTCTCTAAAATCAATAATTTTTTTTCTTTTTTAAAGTATATCCTTAGTCTCTCCTTTGTTTTCCTTCTACTTTTAGGGTTTTGTTGGTTTTTACATTCTAAGAATTTTTTCTCTAATTCTGCTTAGATATCACAATTTTTGCTGTGCTTTAGCATTTTAAGCATTTTTAAAAAATCTTCATCTGAGGATATGTTTTTATTGATTTGAGAGGGAGAAACATCAATGCAAGAGAGAAACATCAATCATTTGCCTCCCATATGCGCCCAAACAGGGGATCGAACTTGCAACCTAGGTATGTGCCCTGACCGGCAACCAAACCTGCCACCTTTTGATGTAGGGGACAACACTCCAACCAACTGAGCCACCCAGCCAAGGCTTAAGCATTTTTTTTTTTAAATCAACTCAGCTAAGGTCAACTTGTATTTCTATTATCTTTTCACCAGGCTTACAGCACTTTATGAATGGGGGGATTGTGTTGTGTCCTTCTGGATACCTTTTGCTATCTTTTTTCTATTTATTAAACACTTTAAGAATTTTTTTTAAAGTGTTTAATGGCTTTAGGAAGAACTCTACTGATTCTTCACATGCTCTAAAAAAAGGAATAAAATGGTGTTGGGCAAGTTTACATATCTATTTTCCCCTGTGGATTAGCCTACTCATAATTGCCCTTGTATGAGTTCCTAAATGTCACGGTTCTGGCTAATGGCCTGTGCACTGATATATATTTATTAGAAATGGTCTTCATTCTTCTCTGATCTATTTACTCGATAATTCAATATGTTTCTACTACTTTTCTCTGATATTTTCATTCTAAAACAGAGATAGAGAAAGGACTGAGTGAATATCTGGGCCATATCCTACATCACCCTTAACAACCTCAGGAAGGCAACAAATATTAACTTAGTTTATTGTGTGCTGAGCTTTGTCCTAGATATTGGGGAGATAGAAAATGCTGAAGCTTCCACTTCACCTTCCTAAAGAACTGTGAAAAAGAACAAAGAAATCTCTGCCAAAGGCTGTCCTAAACATTTCTCCTTTCTGCATTTCCTCCTATCACTGAAAAGTGTTGCTCAGAGAGAGGGCTATTTGGAAGAAGAGAGGTGAGTGTCTTAAGGAAAAAGAAGGAGCAATTTGGGAGCCTTTAAAAGGAGAAAAAATGTGGACTTTGCCTCCAGACTGAAGGCTTAATATCTGTGAGGGGAAGGACAGGTGGCTGCCTGGGCCCTAGGTCTGGTTACTGCTAGAACTTCCCACAGGATGGAGGAACATGCCACCTTGACTAGACCAGCCAGGCCGGGAAAGCCAGAGAGAGGACTTGCTGTTCAAACTCTGAATAAACATGAACCTTTCTTTTAAACAGTAATGAGACTAAGAAGTGAAACTAAGATGTGCAAGATTTTCTTAATGAATTTTTTATATTCTTTAAAAAATATATATCTTTATTGATTTCAGAGAGAGGAAAGGAGAGAGACAGACAGACAGACAGAAACGTCAATGATGAGAGAGTCATTGATCGGCCGCCTCCTGCACACCCCTGACTGGGGATCAAGCCTGCAACCTGGGCACATGCCTTGACCAAGAATCGAACCCTGATCACCTGGATCCTAGGTCGATGCTCAACCGCTGAGCCACACCTGGCCGGGCACAAACATCATTTTGATTAATCCTTCTGACAACCCTATGAAGGGGACTTTTCAAACCCATTTTAAATTTAAAATATTTAGGTTCAGAGAGATTAAAATCCCAAAGGCCAAGTAAGTAGACCCAGGATGCAACCCATCTCTGCCTCCCAGCAAGGAGGTATTGATGGACCCTTAAATGCCCATCACCATAACTAAAAATGAACTGGACAGGGGAACGGGCCTTCAGTAGCATCCTCTGAATTTACTGAATTCACTCGTACTAAGAAAGACAGTATAAGGAAATGCTGTTTGTTAATGGTTCTTTCCAGAGAGCAAGAGGGTTTGGGGGTTGGGGGGTAGGGGAGTGGCGGGGTAGAGGGAGCAGTAGAGACCCTATATTGGGAAAGGTGGTCCTGCGCCTGTATCACCACTTTGGCTAGTGTCCAGCCCAGAGTGCCCACCCTGGCCAACCTTTCCCTGCATGTACCAAACCCAAGGCCAGCTTCCCCCTACTAAGAAAACAAAAACATGCTGCTCCTCCTTTTCTGGCTCTTCATAAAAAGAGATCATGACATTACTTTAGACAAATTCAGTTTACATTTTTTTTTTTTTTAAATCCACAAAAACCTCTTGAATATACTGGAAGTGCCAGGGATGGCTCTAGATCTATAAATCGGTTTGGGAATCAGCGGTATGAGGTGGAGATGGAGATGGACTGATCTCTTCTATTTAAAGCCCTCTGGAATCCTGCGGGGCTGGGGCATGTTCAGAAAAGGAGGTAGGATGGGTCCGATTTCTTCCCCTGTTCTTCCTCCCCCGAGGGGTTGGAGCCAAAGTCTTCCTTTCCCTTAAAAGCAGTCCACACTGCCCAAAATTAAGTTCCTGCGAATTGGCCAGTCATAAAAATCGGGCTTCCCAGGAGATGGACAGATGTTTTACAGGACAGGAAACGGGGCAGTATACAGTCCAACAAATGCTCTCTCTCACAGCGCATCCCGCCGAGTGTCGATTTCTTCTCCATCCCCAGGAGGGGGAAAAAATCAGAGAAAAAGCTGGAGGCAGCATTTGTTCCACCTACAGTATGGGCTCAAATCCCCCCCGTAGAATCCTCGCTTCCCCGCGCCCGTCCCCCTCACCTTGTTCGTGAGGTAAAAAGCCAGGTAGCTGGTGCAAAAGGTGAGGCCGACCAGGCACCTCCTCATGCACATCTGTCAACTTGCGGCCCTGCCCCGGAACCCCGCGGGACCCCCAGGACGCCGCCGGAC